AAGAATTGGATCGAGAAGATTGTATACCTTAAATTCAGAACTAAAGCAGTAATTAGAAACGCTTTCTTGTAAAAACTAAGGGATGAAGCAGTAAATATTTTTATATTTTTACTTCATGTAATACTTCCCTTACTCACCTAGTCTTCTCTATTTTATTTTGGGATAATTTCAGAAACCTCCCCTAAGGTTTCTAACAATTTTACTTGACGCCTTTAGACTTTAAAAGATCTCACTTGTCTTTCTTATTTTAAGATTTTTGTATCATTTACAACCCATTTTAAAATACAATATTAAAAAAATTCATTTTGGGAAAGTAAATATAATCTCGTTCCAGATTTGCCCTTTTGTTGTCTTATTTTTTATTACAAAAACAAATGAAAAAACAAAAATAAAAAAATATGAAGATTTATTTTGATTGGACAAAATGTAGTGTGTTTTTAAATACCAAGAGTTAATATATGAAAGTTTATTTGAAAATTTTGCAAGTTATCAAGACAATATTTTCTTTACTTAAAGCATTTTGAGTTAATTTAAGAAGTTTTATAAATCATTTACATTTTTTGAAATTTTAATTTTTTTTGTCCAAATTGATGGCTTGAAAATTAAAAGGACACAACATGCTAAAAATTATAAATAAATTTTGTATTGTTTTTAAATTAGTACAAAAAGATATTATCATAGTTGTGAATTACTGCAAGTTATTTTTAAAAGTATTATAAATTGTTTATACTTTTAAGTAATTTAACATTTCTTATCCGAACTAATGACGCAAAAACTATTAAAGAGTTTTTCGATCTTATTATCAATTTTTAAATTTTCATTAAAGAATTTCATCGATCAATTTACAAAAATTAAGAGATAAGTGCCTTTAAACTTTTGTATCACTTGTCTTCCTTCCTTGCTCTAATTGAATCGGACACAACAATTCATACATGCAACAAAATCAGGATAGATAAATATATCTGTCAATCGTAAAATGAGATGACAGTCATATATAATTGCTTCATCTTAACTATAGTCAACAAATCTACAAGTTCAAACATTCACTAAGTTAATACGCCATCCAAAATCAACCACTGCGCCACCCTTTTTAAAGAGTGATAGATCATTGCAAAAGGATATTAAATGCACCACCAAGATATGATAGTTAGCAAAAGCTCTTCTATGCAGATTCTGGCCAAATTGTTGTGGAGATTTCTTGAACATGGCCCAAAATAGTAAGAGAAGAGAAACTGGCGGAGGGAGACGTGTAGTTGTTTGGAAGATGCTCAAGTGAAAACACTATTTTGCCCCCAATGACGGAGCCGGGGCTATGTTTTGCAAATTTTAATTTATAACTTGTAAATATATGTTTAAAACAAAGTTGACCCTCCAAATTTTTTACAATTTTAGTTTATATTATGAGAGTTTATATATATATTAGTTGCCTTTGAATTAATTTTTTTCATCAAAAAAAGTTATTTATTTTTTATTGTGGTAATTATTTAACTTTCAAAAAATTAAACATATAATTTGATGATCCATAGTAAATTCAATTTGATATATTGTAATAAAAGACCCAATTAATAATTATAAATAGGTTAAAACAAAAATAATTACTTTATTGGTCCACATACAATATACAACTTAGCCCAATTGATCAGCCTTGTTCACATTTTTCCAAAATCAACTAAAACTATAGAAAGGGCATTTTTCAATTATGAAAATAATCAAGACAAAGGTTCAAAACAAGATGGAAGATAAGTTTTTAAATGATTGTCTAACTGTGTACATAGAAAAGGAAGTTACAAAAAAATTTAGCACTGATTCAATCATAGATGAATTTAGTTCTATAAAAGAACGTAAAGCTCAATTTACTTTTAAGAAAAGAGGTTGAAATTTCAAGGTATGTTAACATAACTTTTATCTTTTTTTTTTAATTGAAAATAGTTATATTTATATTGCATAGTTATACATGCATACATACATACATACCTACACACATACACACACACACACACACACACACACACACACACACACACACACACACACATATATATATATATATATATATATATATATATATATATATATGTTGGACATGTGACATATTGGAGCATCTTCTCATAATATGCAACTTGGGTGATATGTGATGTTATGAGATATTTAATCAAAAATTATTTTTATCTTAATTTTTGTTATGACTATGCTGCATATTTATGAAATAGTCATAACTTTGTAATTAAAATCAATATTTGATGTTTTTAGATGTCATATATTTAAATAGATGAAAATTATTTTGAATATTACATATTAAGATAAGTTTGTTAAGAAAAATTTTGGCCTTTCTAGGAAAAAAATCTTGGCTTCGTCACTATTTGCCCCTAAGATACAAAACCCCAAAATGCATAGGGGACCGTAAACCAATGTTTTTAAGCTTGGACCGGCTAGCGAATCGGAAGGGGGCCGGTTCACCAATTTTTTTTTTTTAGTGCTAAGTACTTCACAAGTCTTCACGTTATACTTGAACTTGATGGCTAATGCACAATCTAACATGGTTATTGATAACTTAAGTCCCTAAAATGAATTCACCAACATAACTAAATTTAAGTTGAGATAATAATAAATTTTCTAAAAGTTATACATAAAACTTATTCACCGCAAGTTTTCATAAACTCATTACAATCATAAATAGATATAATCCAAATGTTCACCAATTATCACAAATAAAAACACAAAAATAAATAAAATAAATGTTGACATTCTTTTATGATCCTAAAAGAGTCCAACTCATATTTAAGACAACAATTTGAATAACAAACTTCCATCAGTGGCATGATAGGCAACATCACCACCTTCACAATTTCATCAACTTAACCTGAAAAAGTTAAAAGTTTATTACAACAATATAAATCTAATTGCAGCTCGTTAGATGGCCAAGCATGTACACCAGCAAACCAAAAGTAAAGAGTTTTAGGGGTTCAAAATTTTTGAATTAAGTTTTTATTTTAACTTTTATTGTACTTAGTTCAAATTTTTATATTCTTATTATTCAATTATTAAATAATATGTAATTTTGCGACATAGAGTATCAATGGAAAAAAAAATTGGTAATTAAGCTTATTGAGCATTATAAGTAAATATTTAAAACTAATGATGGGTACAAAGAGCGGTATAAATTGATAACTTAGTTTGTAAAAATGAATTTAAATGAATTTACAATAAGTTAAAATAAATTGGTTATAAATAGGTAATTGGGTTACCCAATTCATTTTTTGACTTACCCATTTATACCCATCTAATTAAATGGGTAAATATGGGTTAACTCACTTATACCTATTAACCATTTTATCCAACGCAAACCCGTCCAAGTCATCCATTTTGGCACCTCTAATTACAATCAACAAGCAGATCAGCTTCATGAATCCTTCCTGCCAAGGGATAATATTTAGTTAAAACATCAGATAAAGACTGCTTAAACTGATGAGAAATTTGGCAAGGATTATCAATATTTGGCATAGTATAGAAGAAAACACGAGAAACATAATATGGAAGATGAATTTGGTCAAGGTAGGATAGTCTGTGGTGTTTTAAGTGAATGGGGAGTTGGAGAATTTGGTTTTATCAACTCTTTTGAGATGATCTCTAATCTGGTGGCTGTCTGTGTATGCTAAAATTTCAGAAAATCTATGCTGCCAGCCCTCAAATGTTGAGTGTTGATATAGTGCAAGACTAAGGTTCATAAAAACGTATGCAACGGAAATTTGACTAACCGTTTCAAGTGCACCATCTATTTTTACAAGTTGTCTACCAGGAAAATATCAAGTTTCATTAGCATCACAACAGGATTGCAGAACTTTGAATCTCAGAAAAAAAAAAAAAACTATTGATACAAATTATATGGATCAATATGAGTCATATACCAAAAATATGAAATATAGGATGATAAAAAAAAATGAAATTGTCTACATTTTAGAAGTATTAACAAATAATCAAGTCAAATAATAGAAATGAAAAACATAATATGAGAAAATTAGGAAAATGAAAGCTATGGGCTGATTTATAAAACAAAAATATCAAGAAAAGCAAAATCAACAATCTTGAAAAACAGGATTTGAAACTATAGACTTATGGATAAAAAAAAAATCAAGAAAGCAAAATCAATAACATATTGATTAAAATTTATTATAAAAAAGACAATAATGAATTATAAAAAGTAAAAATTGTCCGAAATTTTGTGATAGTAACTGTTAACATATAATCAAACCAAATAATAAGAATACAAACATGATTGTAGAGAATTAAAAAATAAGAAAAACTATAAGTTTTTTTGATAAAATAATGTAGTAAGGCATAATAAATACAAACATATATAAGGCAAAAATTAATACATTAATTAAATGTTGTTATAAATAAGGAAGTAAAAAGGAAGGAAATTAATTGTTACCAAAAAATAAAAAGAATTAAAAAGTAAGAAATCAATATGTTGATTGAAATTTGTTATAAATACAAAAGTAGTGAATTATAGGGAAAAATTAAAAAAATTCCAAATTTTAGTAATAGCAACTTCTAATATATAATCAAGCCGGATAATAAATTACAAAATGTGATTAGAGAGAAATTTAAAAAAAGCTATAAGTTGATTGATAAATAGATTTGACATGCCATAATAAATGCAATCCCATATAAGGTGGAAACTAATAAATTGATTGAAAATTTCATAAATAAGGAAGTGAAAAGGGAAGGAGATTAATTGTTACCAAAAAATAGAAAAAGAATCAAACACAACTATTAAATAGTTGTCCATGTGACAAAAAGAAAATAAATAGTTCACTTGATAGAAAGTTAAAGTACCCAAGTCAAAAACTTTAACCAAGTCAACAACCTTCTTAAATTAAAACTAAACATTATCATACATATATATATATATATATAGTGTATATATATGTATGTATGTATATGTATATGATTACACTTCTTGATAGCTACTTTTGAATGAAAAAACTCTAGTGCCCCTGTGTTCAAGATAACTTCACATGAAATATATCTTCTACCTATTAGAGTTTCGGCAAATGTATTGAAAGTTGGGAATCAAAGTACAGACAACCAAAAAGTATAAGATGACTCGGTGTAAATTCAGTCTTAGCAAATACATTAGTTACACAAAATATCTTCAGCAGTACTTTTTTCACATTTCTGCCCACCGTACAAGGCTTCACGAACGTGCTTAATTTCATAGGGATGTGGCGAGGTTCTGGCTTTGCTTATACCCAAGTACAATGTTGGAATTTGCAAGCTTGGCAATCAGATGCAGCACCGGTATTTTCATTTGGCGTATCAAGATGGAATCAAGCAACAAAACTGGCACCCTTCATATTCTCCAAGTCTACTCCAAGTCTACTCCAAGCTTTATACATTTCACTTGCATATGATTGCTACCATTCACCTCCACGTTTAATGGATCTTGATCAATGCGTTCTGTGCTACTTGAACCAATATCCACGCAACTGCGCCTCTCCGAGACAGATGCAGTGGCTCTCAGACTGCGTCATCCAAAAGCCTTAAAACCAGAAATCATATAATGTTGATGTCAGAAGCTCCTTACTGAAATCTGAAAATCACAAAATGGTAAAAAGTTGCTCACTCAGTACTAGCACCAGTTGGAGATTTAGCTGCTACTTAGTCGTCTGATAAGCTGTTCCTTCTGGGAGACCACCTTTCACTTTCATGAGAATATCTGCCACGTTGGCGTGAACTGCTTCTGTCCATGGAACCACTGACACCTGAGTGATCACGACTGTTAGACTTCTTTTCATCTCGATGAGAATGCCTACTACGTTTGTGGTGCTTGCTTGAGCGGTCGTGCCTGTCTCTTGACCTCCTCCATCTATCAGATGACTGATCCAGGCTTGGTGACCTTTCGAGATGATAATCACGACTAGTTTCTTCATCATGCTTATAGGAGTAGTCTTCACGGTCTGCAGAAACCCTTTTTCTTCGGGGTGGTGATGGAACCTTATGCATTAAATAAAACATTATTAGTTGCAAGTTTTTGGCAACTACTATGTACTTGCTTCATCAAACTTGAAAGGGACTCCGGTCATAGTCTTCGCTGGATCAAGAAATGTTTAACTAGGCTTCTTAAAGTGAAAAAGAAACAAGGGGAAAAACATCTGAACATAGTCAAAGTAGTTACTTAGATTATTCAAGCAAATAACTACAGGAAATCTTGATGAACAAAGTTGCACTTTCTTGTTTAGTATCAGAATACACACACACACACAAGCACCAGAAATCTAATATTTGACATTCTGATACCTCAAATCGTGACACATATCTTCCTTCCAGGGGAGGTGGTATGCCAAGCCTTTTGAGGTCATCAAAAGGAATTTGTCGCCTGGGTTATACCAGAACCATGCAAACATAAGATTAGGATATCTAAAAACTTGAACAAATTAAAGTTATAGTCAGTTGAATTCATCAAGGCAAAGATAGTGGCTAGCAATAAATCTGAAGACCCAACCCAGGCAACTGCTTATAATTTAGGATAAAATGATCAGTCATGTACATGACAGAACATTCTTAGTCTTCCAAAAGAACCAGAGACCCACACACCACTATAATTTCAAGCACCGCCTTGGGGATCAATGACCAGTCTACCACAATGCCTCCCGCCAATCCAAAATGTTAGAAAAAAACTACAAGATAGCTGCATCTTTCATGTGAGCAGTTGGTCATGGACTCCATAACTTTCAGCCTCAATGAAAATAAATAAAGAACTTAATTTATCCCGCAGAAATCACATAGGAAGATAACAAAGAATAATTTGCTTGTCACTTTTTGTCAAGTCAGGTGCTGTTGCATTTCTCCAGGTGCCAGAATTTTCAATTTCTTTCTCAATTTAGAATAGTTCGACTTGCATTAATAGCTGTTAGGAAGTTGTGAAAGTAAGCATTAGGGTAAAGTGACAGCAAAAAAGCGGCAGAACAACAAGAACTAAAACTTGATTATAGGGAGGTCACAATTCAATCATACAACTGAATCATGTCTCATTCACCTATTAACAGGAGAAATTTACCTCTTATCCTTTTACTTACACAAATAGGAGAACTGTAGGGCCTAGTACTCTAGAGCAAACAAGGGAATATTTGGGAAAAATATTATGGCTATTCAATATTTGGACAACTGTATTTAAAATTGTAGATCCAGAATGGCAGGCCACTACAACCTCAAAATGGAAGTGGGGAGGACTTGGAAATTCACAACAGAAAGGGTTCATTGTATGTAGTTTATTGAAAACTGCTTCAATATGTTTCACTGTGGATGACTGCTGTGCACTTAGACAATAGGAACAGAAGGAACCAGAGAATTTTCAGCATCTGATGCAACGCAAAACAAAGACAAAGCAAAAGGAAAAGGAAAAACTATAGCCTATTACTTAATGGCTATTCTGGACCAAACAACTCACAAATTACTTAGGAACAGGGAATTTTAAGATCCCTTTTCAAATGAAGTTAACTTTGATATCTTTTGCTAATATTTGAATACTAAAAGGGCATTTGAATAAACAATAGAAATAGAAGGAATCATAGAATTTCTACCATTTGGTGTAAGGCCATGACAAGGATGAATAAGAAGGATAAGAAAATACTACAGTTTATGGTCATTCTGGACCAAACACACTTAGGTGCAAGGTTTAAACATCAACAAATCTCACGAGTTACTAGGGAACTGGAACTCTTTAGGATTTCTTTTCAAATAATTCAATGAACTTAACTCTGATATTGTTTGCTAATTTAGTCTATAGCTTGAACCCAGGAATCAGATGTCATGAAAAAGACTATGCTTCCTTCATTCCTGAACTTCCCAAATTGAATGCGTTACTGGGGCTGAGCATGATGATTTAGAATAGTGAGAAGAGAGAGAGACCAGACACAGCTTAATCAAATTGGGAATGATCAGACAATTGACATATCAAACTGCAACAAAAGGTACAAGATCAACTCCTCCAGTGTATCTAAAACAGTTGCAACAGAAGATATACTTAAGCTATAAGATTGGCTACATCTCAAGGATCTAAACTAATCAAATGTAGCAAATTACTGAATCTCAAGTATAATAGGTCAATATAGTACAACGGAATTGGATTTTCGCATCAGACAATTGACATTAAAAAGAATATCAAAATTACTCTGGGAAGAGAGTGTTTTAGTTTCTAAATTTTGAAAAATGATACTGAATATTCTTCTCAAAACTAGGTTGCCAAATGGAAGCAAAGCATTTCCCTTTTTTTTTTTAAAAGGTTTATTTTTCATGTATAACATGTAACAATTAGGTATACATGCAATACATCATAAGACAAGATTCTTAAAAATGGATTACAATACTTATTTTGACAGTGACAGTCAAGTCATTTCAGTGCGAATAAGGAAGTCCAATGAAAAGGGATCAACCCTTCATTGAATCGTTGAATTATGTGATTCAATCAATGAATTTATCATAAAGTGATCCAGTTGAAGAACAACCAATGTCTAAATTAGGATCATCTTCTTTATCCACAATGTTCACCAAGGTGGTAAACCTAATAAAAGTCTACCAAAAGAGTGAAATTCTGATTTCAACTTTATGTGGAAAATAAGCTTGATGCTCAAAACATTTAAATCCATAAACAGAAGTGCTGAAATCCAAAAACTGAATCGGTAACAACATATTCCTTGAGAAAAGTAGATTAATTTTACAAGCTTAGATAACGCAGCAGATACTTTCCTAAATCTCAAGAGTATGCATCAATAAAATTTGCATTAACATCTGTCACTAGCAAAATTTATGTGATATCTACTTGTTTCCCACTTGCAAAAGTTCTATTTATGAAAACATCCTTTTACTAAGACAAAAGATAACAGTCACCCATTATGTAATCTATATATCCCACAAAGCGATTAAATTATTACAAATGGAAACAAGAGAAAACATTCCAGTGGCCAAAAATAACAAAGGCATAACCTATAAGAAAACAACTCTAATGGACTATTTAACGTTCCTTATACCTTCTGTTGCAACTTTCATATAGAAAAATTCCAGTCAATTAGTTAGCATGGTTCAAGAAGCAAAGGATTGACACATACAAGGGAGCACGAAATGGTCGTTCTCGCCCTCCGAAACGCAGCTGCCCAGACTCTTTTCTACCACCAAGACCCCCTCCTGGAAAGAAAAATAACTATTAAAGTTGATAATAATCATAATAAGGCTTCGAAAGATTAGAAAGATTTGACAAACCTAATCTTCTTGGGATCCAGCCTGGCATGAGCTGCTGTCTGTTGTAATCAACTATGATTTCCGAATCATCAATAAAGGTATGATGAGCATCCTGCACAAAAGATGTGGAAATAGGCTTTTCATCTGGTATTTTTCTGATTATGATGATCCCTTTAAGTATCTCAGACTTAAATCCCGCAACAAATTGGAAGTACGGATAAACATGTTAATACCAGGATTTTACAGTGAAAATGTACTCCAGGATCTGCTAGCTAATAAGTCATATCCTACATGATGTATTATCGCGAACATCTCATGCAACCAAATTCAAGAGGAACAGGGAATGCTTAAACAGAGGGTTGTGGTGAAATTAAGGAAGAGAGTATATGCAAGAACTCGGCATCTCTCTGCGTGAAAAGGAAACAGGGTTCCTTGTCTTAAATTACACACATAGATAGTGTAATATCTAACACATCTATCACAAGATTAGTTTGTAGAACCATAATTTTTACCTTGGCTGCTGACCTTTTGAAGTAAAAGTTTACATCATCCTAATTCACTCATAATTAGCATTCTAACTACTACCAAGCTGCTGTGAAAATTTGTTTTGTTACTTAGCAGAAAGATGGCTAGTCTACACTTTTTGGCAACCAATCTCAGACAAGTTGAACGTCTTTTCCAAGGTTTCTGACTTAAAAAACCTCAGCCCTGACACAAATTATGCCAGGCTCCTCATTTCTGCCCATTTTTAGTTAGTACCAGAACCAAAAAGCTCCAGAGACTGGCAGCAGTTAAAGAAAATAAAACAAAAAGTGGTAATCAAGAGATGACCTTGATAGATCAACAGTTGAACTAATGCACGCTTGAATCAAGATGCCAAATTTCATGATTGCTCCAGATAGCCATTAAAGTGATAACCAACTATAAGGTAGTCGTAAAGTACGTTCCTCAGAGTAAAGCTAAACAATTTGGAAATACATGCATTGCCAAAATCCAGTCAAGAGATAAAATTTTACAGATTGAAGGAAAAACTCTTAAGGCTATCAAATTAAACAGACAAAAGGGAAAGAACAACAAAGAAGTGACACTGACGTAAGTAGGGAGAGAACCAAACATGGTTGACAACCTCTCATATATAACAAAGTAGACTCACCTTATATGCTCGCCTCATTTCTCTTTCTGTTTCAAATTCAACAAATGCATAACCACGTGAGGCACCAGTGACTGCAGAGCAATCATGAGAATGATTAATTTACATCAGCAACTCATTTGCAAATTCAAAGATGCCATTCTGAGACGTGGACAAGATTCCCGGTAAAAGTTTCTAGTCATGGATTCAGCTAGGATCATTCTATATGTTGCAACAGAAAGGGTGTCACAATTGATAAAAAAAGATTAGGTTCCCTATATTTCTCCTTTGCATTTGTTCTCCCCATACAACTGATACTAGGCTGCATTACAAAACCAAGTACCTACTTAACATCTCCCTAGCGTGTTACAATTTCAAAACCAAGTACACTTCTATTTCTTTCGTTCTTTCTACAAGTAACAAACTGTGAGCAAAAAGATTTGCTGCACGACAAAGCTATAATAATGGAGCATTTCATCTTACTTTCTTCCAAGCAACTGAAGAAAAGAAACACAAAATTCCGGGCCGAGAAAAACCATATATCATCATAAATACTTGTAACGATTGGTGGTTGCTAGGGTGCTTCACATTTAATTGTAGAAAAACTATAACTTCCTTTACAAATCATAAACAGACAAGTAAAATATAACACAATAATACTCAAAACCGAAAATACAATTGAAATTAAAGTTGACCAAAAAAAACTGAACAGCATAAATAAGTGGATAAATTAGTAACTAACCAATGTGTCTGACTAATCTCAAGTTCTTTACTCTTCCATATCTGCTCATAGCCTGAAGAAATAGACAAAACCCATATCCCCAATTCAACAGATAAGCTCAAAAAAGTAATCTTTTCAAATAAAACGCCATAACCAAAAACCAACAAAACAAAGTGAAAATGAAGAAAATGAAACTTAAATAAAAAAAAAAGGGACCTGCCGAAGAGTTTCTTCAGTGGTGGAGTGGGAAAGACGGCCCACAAAAATCGTGCAATAGGGGTCACCAATCACCTTTGGATCACCAAAAGGGTCATCTGCAAGAAAATGGGCACATAAAAAAGTGGGAAAAAATGGCAAAAAAGAATGAACAAGAACCTGGGAAGGAAATCAGCAATAGGAAAAGTTACAGAGGCCAGAGTTGGTGCAAAGGAGAGCTCTGTAGATGCCGTTGTCGTGAGGAAGAACGTCGGTTCCATCGATGCTTCCTGCTTGAATTGGATGGTATGATTCTGCATAGAATACTGAGTTGACGTTGCTGCTGCTGCTCATCTTCTTCCTTCTTTTGCTCTCTTTGCTTGCTTTTCTTTTATTTATTTGAGATTTTTTTTTGGGTTAATTTCATCGACCCGACCCGAATCATAACAACAGTCTCGGATCTGTATGGATTGATATCTTTGGAATAATTATCTTTATTCCAGTCAAGTATTTGAAATATATTGAGAATTATGTTTGGATAGTTAATTTCTCTTGAATTCTAAATAGGATTTTTGTATGGATTGTTAATTCTATACCTCTAAATTTTTGTCATAATTATTTGAAAGTGCATAATTTGCCTTTGCTCTTTGTAAACTATTAAATCAAGGGATAATTGCAGAAACCTCCCCTGAGATTTCTGACATTTGCACTGACCTCCTCTCTAGGTTTTAAAATTGCATTCACCTCCCCTGAACAGTAACAATTCGTTGTAGAAACTTCCCTCACAACTTTTGTAGAAGTAAGATAAGAAATTTCTTTCAATTTTGCCCTCTTCTTGCTTGACAATTATTATTTGCTTGACAATTGCTTAACTAATTATCTAATTAGTTAATAGTTAAACTAATTAACTATTAACTAATTATCTGATTAATTATTAACTAATTAACTAATTAACTAATTATCTAATTAATTAATTAACTAATTAACTAATTAATTAATTAACTAATTAACTAATTTCTATTTATCTAATTAACTGCTTAACTAATTAACTAATTAACTAAAGCTGTTGTCTGTCCGAAACTAACAAACTATTTGCATGTTAAACTAATTAACTAATTAACTGCTTAACTAATCAACTAATTAACTAACTAACTAATTAACAGACTATTTGCATGTTAAACTATATGTAGTACGCATTACCTATTTAAAGTATCAGCTTTTTATGGGTATTTTACTTTCAAACATTTAATTTATGATAAAAACATCAATGTTTGTAAGTAAAATTTAAAATGTGTTACAGTAATATTCTTACAAAAAGGGAGGGACATAGGGCCATAAATTAAATGTTTGAAAGTAAGATTATTGATATTTTTTGTAACACTTTTTGAATTTTATTTACAAACATTGATATTTTTATCATAAATTAAATGTTTGAAAGTAAAATACCTATAAAGAACCAATACTTTAAATAGGTAATGCGTACTGCTTATAGTTTAACATGCAAATAGTTTGTTAATTAGTTAGCTAATTAATTAGTTAATTAGTTAAGCATTTAATTAGCTAATTAGTTTAACATGCAAATAGTTTGTTAGTTTCGGACAGACAATAGCTTTAATTAATTAGATAAATAGAAATTAGTTAATTAATTAATTAGATAATTAGTTAGTTAATTAGTTATGCAGTTAATTAGTTAATTAGTTTAACATGCAAATAGTTTGTTAGTTTCAGATAGACAACATCTTTAGTTAATTAGTTAATTAGATAAACAGAAATTAGTTAATTAGTTAATTAATTAATTAGATAATTAGTTAGTTAATTAGTTAAGTAGTTAATTAGTTAGTTAGTTTAACATGCAAATAGTTTATTAGTTTCGGACAGACAATAGCTTTAGTTAATTAGTTAATTAATTAAGCAGTTAATTAATTAATTAGTTTAACATGCAAATAGTTTGTTAGTTTCGGATAGACAACAGCTTTAGTTAATTAGATAAACAAAAATTAGTTAATTAATTAATTGGATAATTAGCTAAGCAGTTAATTAGTTAATTAGTTTAACATGCAAATAGTTTGTTAGTTTAGGATAGACAACAGCTTTAGTTAATTAGTTAAGCAGTTAATTAGTTAATTAATTTAACATGCAAATAGTTTGTTAGTTTCGAATAGACAACAACTTTAGTTAATTAGATAATTAGTTAATTAGATAAATAAAAATTAGTTAATTAATTAATTAGATAATTAGGTAGCTAATTAGTTAAGCAGCTAATTAGTTAATTAGTTTAACATGCAAATAGTTTATTAGTTTCGAACAGACAACAACTTTAGTTAATTAGTTAATTAGATAAATAGAGATTAGTTAATTAGATAAACAGAAATTAGTTAATTAGTTAATTAATTAATTAGATAATTAGTTAATTAGTTAATAGTTAATTAGATAATTAGTTAATAGTTAATTAGTTTAATTATGCAGAAATAGTTTGATTAGTTAATAACTATTAACAATTAGATAATTAGTTAATTAGTTAATAGTTAATTAGATAATTAGTTATTAATTAATTAGATTATTAGTTATTTAGTTAATTAGTTAATTAGTTAAACTATGCAGAAATAGTTAATTTAGTGTAATTTTTTTTAACAAATGTTTTGTTGGGTTTGATGAAAGTACTCATCACATTCATTTGGTAAAATTAAATCATGCCAGGGGTACTTTAGTAAATTGACCCACTTTTGCCTATTAAATTGCATCCAACTTTTGATAGGGGAGGTCAGTGCTATTTCAAAATTGATAGGGGAGGTCAATGCTATTACTATAAAAGTCAGGAGAGGTTTCTGCAATTATCCCTTAAATCAATTAAAAACACGAGTACCATGGCATCTCTAACTCTTGTTCCACAGTGCAAGTAATTTCTCGACAGATTCAGATTAGCAAATACAAATAAGTGCTTCTAATCGGACAGTGGCATCTTACCAACTAGCACACACAATCATGACACAAACAGAATTATCAAGGTAGTTGATATTAGATGATAACTGTACTTTATATGTTTAGTACAGTCCGTACGCCGACACACTAAAATTAAAACAAGAGCATTGATAATTTCTTTCCTATTGCCTTCGCCTACCATTTTTGTAGTCATTCCATATTCCATTTGCCATTGCATCCCTCATTCCATGCCATTCATTCACCTCTTCTTACGAGGCATGGAAGGGTTGGATTTCTGGCCTTGGTGGCACCCTACCTTCTCCCTCAACCTCCATCTCCTGTTTGTGGTCATTGAAGATGTCATCCACTAGCAATTCGTCTCGTATAAAATTGTGAAGTGTGCAACAAGCAATGATAACATTTATTTATGTAGTCATATAAAAATTTGGCACTGGACTGCGCAATATGGTGAATCATCTTTTTAGCATCCCAAAACATCTCTCGATTACATTTCGAAGCGATGAATGACGACTATTGAAAAGCTGCTGCGGGGAGGTGAAACTTCGTTGTCCTTATACTTGCTGTCGGAGTGTACCACGATAAGGTGCAAGAAATCCTAGAATGTTTCTATATGCACTGTCAATCAAGTAGTATTCCTACCATGTCATTCATTGAACGAGAAAAAAAGAACCAGTGATTAGTACAAGAATAAACACTTAAAACTATATAAAAAAAGATTATTATATAATTGTTTCCACCTGGCGGAGGCATTGGAAAATGTGTGAGCCCTGTTAGTGCTCCATCCAACACATGTGCATCATGGGCACTCCCTTCCCATCCAGCCTAAATATATATAAAGTGCATATCAAAACCTCATATGGCTAATACATTCTGAGTTGCTTGGCCATGCCTATTCTTGTATGTGACCTGTTCCCCAGGCAGAGCATGTGCTGGAATATGAATCACATCCATTGCACCTATTGCATTCTATGCATGAAATAAATGAGTTGGTGTGATGTCTGTAATAGCATTTTCCATGGCAATAAAAAATATTAATCTTAGGAGTAAAGGATCGATTTGTAATCATTAAAAATATGCATTATGAAAAGGGTGCAAAAATTTTCTACTATAAACCAATTGGTGAATCTTCGATCCGTATAAATTTTTGGATGCACATTGTTTTGGCCTCTGGGTCGAACAAGATGTTTTCCTAATTCACAAAGACTTCGTAGGATCTCGTGAATGTTCTTGCATATAGTTTCCAGGGAATGCTGAAATCGTTCATCAAGACAACGCATTCGATGGTTGTGACTTAACATCACCAATGTCATACACATTGCCTCTTCTATTTTTACTCTTTTCTAAGGGTTTTGCGGGATGTATCTTCCACTAACCAAAATTTAACATAATCGCATGAAAGAGTCCACTGTGACCCTACAATTCTCAAGAATCCTTGCTGGATATCTATGAATCACTTCTTGGACATAATCTCTTATCTATAACATGCTATTTCTACATGGTAGTGGCAATATATACTCGACTGCTCATTTGGCAATCAAATTGAAAAGAACAAGAACTGTCCATTCAATTAGTTGCCAATCCTCATTGTCCTCATCTTGGTCATAAGAAGTTCCCCGAGTAGTTCAGTTCCTGTCCATGCTTCTACTCTCTCTTGATACAAGCAACCTATACCAATTTCAAAATGCCAATTTCATTAGACAATGCACAGGTTATAAGAATCCTTGGTAGGAGAAGATCTAATTTTACATAGACAAATGTGATAAGACAAATAGATTTTTTGTTATGATACATTTACCTGCATTGTGATACAGTCAAACTAGTGTCTCGAGCAACCAATATGTGTCTGGAAGGTTAGCCTACACCGTTGTGAAAGTAGGTGGCCGATATCTCTTTCACAGTAATTTATAGACAAAGAATGAGTCCGTGTAGTTGGCAGCTGTACAAGGGAATCTCACACAATCTTATTTTTTACTAGTCCATACAGTTATTTGTTTGTTCCTTACCAATAAGTTTAGATAACTTTTAATGGGTCTACGTGAAAACATTTCCACTTTCATTGTTAAAACACAAGTACTTCCATCCGGATGTCTAATAAAGCTATACAGTTTTAACAATGTAGATGGCCATATGCATCATCAGACACTAGTGGCATCAACTATTGAAGAGCATGGATAAGGAGTAAAAGTTGCAATCTCTACATTTTCATCAGCCAGAAGTATGCGTGCAGGGATGAATGCAAAACAACAGCGTTGCTTTTGTCCAGATTTCAGTTCATTGGAGTAATAAAGAGCATAATTAGGGGGACCTCAATGTCATGCAAATATCTTGTTACAAGACAAATCAACTTTCAGTGAGCGACATTTGAATGCCACCAGTGGGTTACTTGTAATTGATAGGGACGAATGGCACATTCCAATCAAAACGTTTAAAACAA